AATGACAATCCACATGATCAAAACCTGGCTTGAACCAGTACATCCGCTAAATCTGGTTTAGTCAGTTGGAAAAGCTTTGCAGAATAAGATTGTCTGATGTTATGACAGTGAATAATTAAGCACTAATCAAGGAGCAGGTGAGACATCAAATGAGTTAGAGATTTTAAAAATATAAAACAAAAGCAGCAATAAATTAACAGAATTTTATTTAAATACAAGTTTTAAAAAGACACTTTATGTGCACTTCCATTAACTTTGCCATGAATGACTTCTGGGGCTCCACATTTACTCCATCTCCACTGATCTGACTGACAGGAGTCGTCATCCAAAGGACGATAAGGCCATCCAAGTCTCATCTGCATCAGTGTGCCATTTTTCAATGAAGCTTCAGTGGCTGCAGAGTAAAGGGCAGCACTTCTACTACAAATGACCTGCACATGCATTAGAGCTAAATCCAGTTCGACAGGCAGAGGTCTCAGCCGCAGATTAGTCTGACGGGCTGTCTGTCTGGATCAGAGGGAGTTCAGCAGGGCCGCTGCAGCTAGAAAGAAAGCTGAACAGCGAGGCATGCTGGGACACAAATTAAAGAGGCAAAGCTTGAAAGCTCCCAGTTTGCAGAGTTTAGGATTTGTCTAATTCCTGTACTTTCAGCATTACTGCTGTGCTGTTTATGCAGATAAAGTCCACTTCACTGTTTAAGTGAAAGTTTGCTCTGCTTCCATTCAGTCCAGTTTGCTCACCTGAGAGATGAACAGCACGAGCCACATGCTTACTGTCCAAAATCATTTATCAGACCACATTTTGCCTGTTTTCTTTAAAGGACACTGGGATGACAGAAGGTTAACGGTACATTTTACTGCAGTCTGTGGGAAAATTCTAGCCCTTCATAACAATCTGTTCAGAGCAACAAAGCATCCATAGTTCATTTTTTCCCTGATGTTATAAATCAAGTTCCCTCTTTTCCTGTACATTGGTGTGCCTTTGCCCCTACCTCAGGAATTCAAATTCAAGGCTTTCATAGGTGAATCTATGGAAGAACCTGCCTTTGTCTCTGGCTCACTCAGGAACTCTTATGGGGTATGACCATTTCCAGTAACCTGTGACAGTTAGCTCTCAGCTTTCTGATGCTCACAGGTCTCTTGAAGCATGAAAGTCCTTTTTATCACCCCTGTCTGCAGGTAGGGCACTGATGACCACTGTGGACTGGCAGTTGCCCTTGAAAGACGGGCTTTATGGTCAGAAATGTCAAACTGGGCAAAGGGTTTATCATCTCTATGATTCGCTTCTTTTGTAAAAACGCTTGCTAATCGCTCATCTGTGGGGCTTTTGCTTTTTTTTGTAGCACCATCAGTGGTTATGCAGCATACCACCAGTGTTGGTAGGTTACCATCCTGACTGATTTTGTGTTTGTCAGACACCAGTGAAGACTTTTCTTATTTTTTAAGCCAATTTTCCCAAAGAATAAACTCAATAAAATTTAATTGAAGACAGAGTGCTTCTGTGGTTTAATACAGTCATACTCGCATCACATGCCTAGCAAGTTTTCCTGGGTTTTGTTTTTAATAACTTATAGTTGCCACAAGATCTCCAAGAAATCTGGACTTTTCTCAAGGCACACCATTGTATTGTGTGAATTCTGATTGAAGAGAAAAAAATTAAAACACATTCACATTTAGTGTACAGCAGCATACGTTAAACAAAAACAGGATAGCTTGTGTGCACTGTAAAGTTTCAGGCTGTCATTTGTACAGGTGGCTAAAGGTGGCTCACTGTCACTCAAGTGAAAAACAAAATTACTGTTTTGAATCTCTACTAAAAAGATGGCGAGTCATCATGTCCTCCTCCCTATACCCAACCCTTGTAAATCACATATACACGCTGTGGTGTTTTGTGGTAACCTCTGTACTCAGTGTGTAGGTGTGAAACACAGAAGGGAAGTGTTGTTACAGGCAGAGCGTCGCTTGTCAGGATGACTTTGACACGCCACATTGGACACTCGCTCACATCGCAGAACTCACAACATTACAGGAGGCTTTTTTTCTTTAAGTGGCTGTGACAAAATATAATTAAAACATAGAGAATTTAAAAATGAACAGTGTCTTCCAAGATAACACTGCCATACTTAGGTATGTTAGTATGGTGCTTTTAGATTTTTACTTAAATACAATGAAAACATCTAATTTCACTGCAGTTAAAGCATTAATAACTGGATTTTTGTCTTTAACCTACAACACTACTCCTACTGTAGCAATGCCATCATTACTATATGGGAGCAGTAAATGTGAAAATGTATGGAAAGTTAAAAAGTACAAGTTGTTTGAATCATAAAGGCAAAAAATATTATTCTAGTTTAGTCACAAAACCTTGACATGTGGTTTTGCATATGACTTTCTGCTGTGAGTTGCACTGGAACTTTTTCTGTTGGAGAAGTGGGATGCATGACCGTACTCTAGTGAACCACATTATGTATGCATATGATCTTGTGGTATTTAGTTCTAGCAGTGCTGGTCTACAGGGGCAGTTTACCACATGTCCTGTTTATGGTACAAAACAGGACACCACACAAAGTGTCTGTAAGAATGCGGTCATGATTTATATGATTTACAGAAGCAAAGAAGACAAATATCTAAGATTTCCTGATTTCAAACAGTCTCATAACAATCGTACAGATTCCATTAAAGTAAAAATATCCTGGGCATTCTATTACAGATGAAATGACAGATGATGGAGATAATTATAGAAAATGATGTATGGTGTATGCACAAGCACACGCCCTCTTTTGCAAGTATGGATAGAGTGAATATGTCTCATACTGTACTCGTCTCTGTAACAAAAAAAGTTACACAGACTTCAAGTAGCTTATAATGATACTGTGGGATTACACATGTTCCTTAAGCAATCACAGATCACTAATTACATGACAGAAAAAATGGTTGGTTGGCTTATTTTAAAATGAATGGGGTAAGGATTGTTTTTCCCACTTGGGTTCGTGGTTTCGTCTCCATTTTTAATAGTTTTGAATATGGTCCAGTGTAGTTATTAAGATTATAAAACTTAAGTTATATGTTATTACGTAATGGTTTTACTTGAGATCAAACTGGGCTGTACGTGTATATGGCCTTTGAGTTTAAGGAGTCTGACAGCTCTTCTTTAGAGCACAGATGAGTTCAGATGGCTCTGTCCTGACAGGTTTTGTTCTACATTGGTGTTTTGAATGGATGAGTTACCCTTAGTAATTCTGAACCTCAATTCAGTCACAAAAGAAAACAGTTAGCAGCCTGTCACGCCTCAAAAACCAGTATACCTTTCAACGGAGGCAGCTCCTACACAAAAAGAACCAGTGTACCACAGATTAACCTTACCGTTAACTTAACCTGCTTCTAACTTCATTTTACAGTAGCGTTTATGTTACACTTGTGGTTACTTACATCAGATCTGGTCTGAAGCGATGAATAATGGCACAAAACGCCAGCCCGTCTCGAAAGGACGTAGACATGTCCTTAATTTGCACATCGTTGTAGTTCTCACACTGTATCCGACACCACTCCTGGAGAGCCTTCAGAGATCCCATCATACTACAGACAAATCCGACGGGGAAGGTGGTGAACTTGGATTGATCGACCTTTATTTGTTGACGGGACAGAGAAAGCGACGACGGCCAGGCAACACCCGAGCTGCCGATACGTTACCTTCATGAGCAGCCACTGAGTCACATTGGAAAAAAACGAGCATGTCTTAGGAGCTAGCTGGACGATGCCCAACTTTACCAACTGCAGCAAACACCGTGTGAAGTTCACCTCCCGTGTGCGGTTATTCAGACTGCGGTTACTGCGGAATGAGTGAAAAAACACGGCTGATTTCCCGAGCTGATAACGGGAGCTCGCCCTCAAAAGTTCTTGACGTAGCCGAGTTAGCCAACTGGCTGCAGTGGCTTGCTGTTTGGCCCCACTTTGCAGGTTTGCTGTATATGTGTAAACTGTTGTTTCACGCAGTGATGCAGTTTCAGTCGAAGCAGGTGCAGAATTTCCTCTGTGAAGGACCGCAAGACCCGCACTAGGCTTTTGTTTGTAAGTGCAGTGACTACAACGGCTAAAAGACTGGTTTTAAAAAAGTCTCTTTAGTCCGTTGCCCGCGACGCCATCATTTATGTACCAATACAATTAAAAGTAACCTATGAAAAAATAAAAATCCCGCACAGGAAGTGCAACTCCAGCCGAACAGCGCTGATTAAAACACTGACAGCCTCGCCAAGCTGCCAACCTACAATATCCCGTTTCTCTCCCTGCTCTTATCGCCCAACAGGGGGTGCTACACCCATTCAGGGGCTGCTGTCTTCTTCTTGTATTGGAGTCGACGGAGACATGCATCATCCCCGCATTGCTGCCCTCCTCAGGTAACTTGTATAATACAGGGTTGCTGCCTCCTACAGTGGGGGAAATAGCTATTTGAGCCCCTAAATTTGTTGTAAGCTTTCTTATTTACAAAGAAATGAACAGTGGCTATATTCTATTGTAGTTTAATTTCAATGGAAAATTACAGAACATCAACCAAAAATCCAGAAAACACATTTAATCAATGTAATGAATTGAGTGGGTTAAGGATTTGAAACTCCACAGTCCTGCCAAAATTCTGGCTCAAACAGATCAGCTGTGTCCAGTCAACTGGAGATAAACATCTGTCCACGTGGGTCATAATAGAGCACCAAGGCAACAAAAGGATGGTTAAAGAAGAAGCATACTGAGGTGATGGAGTGGCCTAGCCAGTCTGCAGACTACAGTGTTATGGAAAATTTGTAGAAGGAGCTGAAGCTTCAAGTTGCCAATTGAAAGCCAAGAAACCTAAAGGATTTTAAGACAGTCTGTAAATAGGAGTGTGCCAAAATCACTCCTGAGATTTGTGCAAACCTGGTGACTAACTTTAAGAAACGTCTTACTGCTGTGCACCCCAACAAGGGTTTCTCCACCAAATATAAAATCATCTTTTGATCAAATACTTATTTCACTCAATGACATGCAAATCAATTTATAACGTTTTTGTAATGAGGGGTTTGTTGTTGGGTTTTTTTTTTGTTTTTTTGGTTGATATTCCATTTCCCATATACAAGCTTATTTTGCCATTCAAAGCTTTTAAGGTTAAACCAAGAATTTGACTTCGAAATTTGAAAGCTAAAGCCTGGATTATATTCGGTTGCAGACACGGCCAGCTGGAGACCCAATGACCAAGTAGTGATCCCAAGTCAATACCAGACACTGACTTGCATAGATGGATCTTCTCTAAAATCACTGGGATATGTGTCAGTCTCCATCAGCCATTGAGCCCCAATGTACTCAGTCAGTCTAGTTACATCTGTTACTGCCGATGCACTAAATTTGAGCTTTATTGTTACTGAAATGTGGGTACGAATGTAGCATTTTTAAAATATTTCATTAATATTTCACTGATTTTGACTTAATTTTACTTATAGTTGTCAAAGCTTATTAGTATACAGTTCATTTTTGGGGCCGTGTTGACCTCTTTGTACAGGACTAATCCCCCCAGCCCCGTCATTAACACAGACTCTGGTAGAATTTCATCAGAAACGAAGAAAGTATTCATGCATATCAACACTTTATAATGCTACCAGTAATATACCTAACCTAAGAGAACCTGTGTAGGGAAAAGAATATGAAAATAAGAAATTGTTATCACAGTCAATTAGATAAATGGATTTGTGTTTGGCACATGTTTTTTCACCACCAGAATCAGAAAACTTTATTAATCGCCAATAATAAAATTAGTTGTTAATGATCTGAGTTCAGCTGAGCTGTAGTATCTTTCCCACCGCTGTTTGATGAGATCTTCTCAAAGCCCTTGAAATGTTTCGCTATTCGCGCGATATGTTACAAAAGTCTCGCGATAGCTTGCTTCTTGTTTAGAATTCCCGAAAGATGGCGGCGGCGGCGCCTCCAGATGAGGCCAGTCTGCAGTCTCGCATCAGTAAGTTAGCAATTTATTACAATAATCGATTAGGTTTTGAACGTGGATAGATAACCGAAATGCCCCTGAGGTACATCGACATATTTAGTCATTGTGAATTTTTCGCTGACGCTTATAGCTTCCTCCCCCGGGAGCAGAGAGGAGTCAGCGAAAGCCATTAAATTAAAAAGTGCAGCTGGCGATGAGGAACAAACTCCAACAGTTATATACGGTTTCATAGTTGCTTCATTATGAGTTTAAAGGTAGTTTACTTTTGTCCGCTTTAGCTCAGTGATACTACAGAAAGGTGACATTTAAATTTAAAGGTGTCAGTAACGCTCAGCTGAAGGCTAAAAATCAAGCAACTAGTTAGCTTCTGGTTGTTTCCTTGAGGACCAAGTTTAGCAGGAAACCTGTCACACCTGGGCTATAATCTGACACACGTCTCCAAAAGCGAGCCACCCTCTTCATCTGCTCCAAGCAAGAGAGCTGATTTACATATTGCACACGCTCACAGGCCACAGCTGCTGCACAGAGTCAGGTGTAAAGCGACAGGTTTGACTGCCTTCACAGATCTACAAATAACAATCCGATTTAAAGTGGTTCTGTCCCAGTTTTCAGGTCTGAAATTCAAAAACACGCCAAGCATTTAAAGCAAGTTGAGGATATGTTTGTTTGTTTTCAATTTTACACAGATAAGGCCACCAATCCTCTGAATAAGGAAATTGACTGGGACTCAATAAAGGGATTCTGTGATCAGCTCGAAAATGAACCGGAAGGGTGAGTCGATGATGATTCATTTGTTTCACAATTTCACACTGAAATGGAGACTAACGTGGTGTACCAGCGGTTGACATTATCATCCTGACAACTTGTGTCCCTTTGCTTTCAGTTTTTTAGAGTAGTATTGATTTAAAGGATTGTAATGCATTTTTTAACAGTTTGCTTGTATGTGACATTTTTAATTAATTTTAGGGATGCAGGGATTTAATGGTGAAATGTCTATATTGGCTTTAAATAATTTTACTTGGAGCACTTCGGAAGTCTTGAGCCACCCCTAATTTCTTTATATTTGGCAGGAAAATGGGAAGTGGGTGTAGGGAGTTATTAAAATATGCAGAAATAAATGGAAATGCAATATACAAGAGAAAAAAACCCCAAAGTTCATAGAATTCCAACGTGGTTGAAAGTGACCACCTTTATTCTTCTATACAGGCTTGATGACTAAAGAAGAGAGATACTGTTGCTCTTCTTTAGTTATCAGGAACAGCTCTCCATGCTTTTTGAAGAACATTCAATGCCTCTTCTTTGGATGTTCCCTGTAAAGATAATCCCACGTTGCATCAATAATGTTGAGGTCTGGCATCTGGGCAGACTATTCCATGATAGTTTTCCATAGTACGTGTGTTTTTTGGGTTTGTTTTTTCTCTTTTTATCCAGGAAGGCTTTTACTGCATTAGCAGTGTGTTGGGATTATTGGCATACTGTCGATCAGATGCTTTCTAAATTGTACTGTGTGTTGGATAAAAATCTGACAATAGTTTTCTGTGTTCATAATTACAAGATCTATAAATGCAGCCCCAAACCATGACAAAGCCTCCACTGCGTATTATAGATCCCTGTAAACACTCACTGTTGTACTGCTGTCCTGACCTTCTATGTATTGATTTGAACCAAAACTTTTACATTTGGATTCATTGCTCTCTGTTGTCACAGGCTTTTCAGTCCAGTTCTTGTGTGATTTGGCATACCTCAGCCTTTTCTGTTTGTTTCCTTTCCTTAAGAATGGCTTATTCCCTGAGTCGGGTGCCTTTTTAATGCATGAATTCATAAGTCAGTATAAAGTGACAAAAAAGCATCCCTGAAAATGTTCAGGTATGAGGACTAAACTGAAAATTAATGAAAAAGCAGCCAAATGTCCAAAGAAAGACCTTTAGAAAGCCTGAAGAAGAACTGCTCAAGATCACTTTAAAAAAAAAAAAATTGACACTGAAATTTTCCTCCTTGGAAGGAAAGTGTAAAGACACGAGGTGGCTCAAGAGATTTCCACAGTACTGTAAATTTGCTGATGCCAGTGGCAGATGTTGGTTCAAAAAATTGGTAGTGTTTAAAACCAGAGTTTTATAATTAGTATATCACTAAAACTTTAAATTAAGGTGTTGTACAACCTCCTAAGTCTGTCACTGTAGTGAAACCTTTTTGTTTGTTTTCTCAGGCCTCAGCTTGCAACCAGACTTCTGGCACATAAAATTCAGTCTCCTCAGGAGTGGGAGGCGATGCAAGCGCTAACGGTAAGATCGTCCTGCACACAGCATCAACAAGTGCAAAGGTCTGTAGGATGTCATGTTAAACTCTGCATGTCTGTGCAAATGTAAAACCAACAACCTTTGAACACAGGTTCTTGAGACGTGCATGAAGAACTGTGGAAAGCGATTTCATAGTGAAGTGGGGAAGTTTCGCTTTCTCAATGAGCTAATCAAAGTGGTTTCACCAAAGGTAACGACTGTTGTTCTATGTTTTGCCTCACCAGTTTGGCTGTAACCAAAGATCCGTGTGAAGGTTTTTATGGTTTAGTATAACTACTGAAAATGACAGCTATTTGATGAATCTCACAAAAGATTGAGCTGTATTTAGTTTACAGTTTGTTTGAAAACACAGCCTGGATAAGGTTTTAATGTTAAATCTTTTACCAAATAAGTACTTTCTTCTGACCCAATTTCATTTTCATTTGTGAAAGAATAAGTCTGTTTTTCTTTAGCAGTAGTTAATATCCATTCCCCCTCTCTCTGTAGTATTTAGGAGCCCGAGCTCCAGAGGCAGTGAAGAAGAAGGTCTTAGAGATGATTTACAGCTGGACGGTGAGACTCCCAGATGAGACCAAGATCTTGGAAGCATATCAGATGCTGAAAAAACAGGGTGAGCTCTCCTGGTGTTTTAGAGTTTTATGTGTAACCATCAAGACAAATGACTTCTACAAAGTTTAAAATAATGAACTTATGTGAAAGCTCAGATTCAGCCGTATTTTTCTTGTCTTGATGCTGTATGATGTTGGTGACACAGATGTCTTTAATAATGGTTGTCACAGCAGCCCTTCCTGTCTGCTGTTCAGGCCTTTTGTTTGTGAGAGGCAGCCAGTCAGGGAAAAGGTGCAGCGTTTCTCAAACTGCAGATTGCAAAGAGTAAAATTAGGCTGAATTAAAGATCCTTTTCTTGAGAACAAATAAGTGTTTTCTTATGATTCTGACTTTTATTTGACTTTAATTCTAGTTTTAATCATGTTAAAAAAAATGTGGCTTGTGGATCGTTGGATTCTTGGTTTCTGACGTGTGGAATACCAGAAAAAGTTTGAAGGGAAGGTGGGC